TGAATAAGTCAATAGATAAAATGGAAGAAAACAATTGTTTTAAATAAAAACTTATATAAAAATATTAAAAACATTCTGATGCGTATGCAAAATATCTGTTCGAATTTAATAAATAAATCCTTTTTATTCAAATCATATATGAATGTGGTTGGTAATAAAACATACCTAGCTATTTGTAGATAAATTTTATTTATAAACAATGTGATATTATTGATCTTGTCTTTCCAAAATTTTTTGATTAGGATGCATTATAGATAACAACATGCCAATATAAGATGTATTTTTGAAATCATATATATATATATATATATATATATATATATATATATATATATATATATATATATAAGAAATATAAATTTAGTCAACGTGCATATTAATTAGGAATATTTGAATTTTTTTAAAAAACCATATTAAATAGAGTAAAAATTACAAAGTGAAATTATTAGAAAGCGTTTAAAAAGATTTTTCGTGATTAATAAATATTTAATTTCAGTATTTTTAATTAAAAGTATTAAAGAACAAATAAAAAGATTTTATTTAACAATTTAAATTTTTGAATGAGATGTTATTTTTAAATGTATTAAAATCTTGATAATCAAATGATCAAAGATTCGAATTTTACCGTCCTTATTTTTTTTCTAATTAATTAAATATAAAACAGTATGAATTTTATTTAATAATTTAAGATTTTGTACGAAATGGTATAAAGGTAGTCTGATCCTACGTTTTCTGGTCAATGATCAAATAGTATTTTAAAAAAAAAAAAAAAAACAGAAACATATGCAAGTATCCATTTATCACACCAACAGCTATTAGGAGTTTTAAAATTTAGAAGGAGTCAATCAATTTTTACGTGCAGTACAGACAAGAACGTTTAGTGGAGACCGGAGGTGTAGATATTCTCCACGTTTGCATGAATCAAGTCAAATCTTGTTTCCCAGTAATGTCTTATTATAAACATGGGAAATCGCTTCTTAAAATAAAATAAAGACGTGGGAATTGTGCTGATTGAACCCCACACACGAGGCCCATGGCCACTGTTTCCTGCAGCTTCTATGTTCATACCCAGAAAGTTGCTTTACGGTGACGTAGTCGCAACGACTCACTTGGCCGCTTTTGTTTTATTTGTTCAAAATTCTGAAATCGACTCATTTGCGGATGAATATGATAATTTCAAAATAATAGTCGATGCTAATTGCCCATCAGGAAATGCATTGATTAAGATGTAATGTCATGGGTTACGAATGCATAGCACTGATTTCTTAACAAAATGAGTGTTGTCTGTGACCCAGCTAGACATGCTTGGAATAAAACAAAGCATAAATTTCAAACATACCCAAGTTGTTGGGATAGTGTTAATTTTGCACACAAACTAGTTTTGGCATTATTTTTATCTTCAAGTTATTTTAATTTTTTTAATCGAAACTTTATTTAATAGTAAATGTTAAGTTCTCTATAAAATAAAATGTGTTTTTTTTACAAAAAAAAAAAAAATAGATGAAAAAATAGATTTCAAAACTTTAAATTGATGTAAATCCTTAATTGAAATTCTGAAAATTTGAAAGTAAAATTGTTATAAAAAAATTATTTATTGATAAAATTGAAACTATATATATAGTTGCGAGGCAATTTTGACGTTTGCTCTTGAATAAATTACATGCTGATTTTGTACGGCTCTTCTTTTAAACAATTTACCATTGTGATTGCAAAATGGCAACATAGTCACCTCTAAACCTAGCAAGTTGGCTTGATGATTAAAGAGATTTGCTTCATTGATTTATTAGGTTCAAATTTCGGAGCTAGTACTCGAAAAAATTTATCAAAATTTTCTTTAAATGTATATAAAAAAAAGAGCATAGTTAACTTCAATCATAGATTAAATCCATTTGGATTTCAGATTTGTAACACAAACATAAAGCTAATATGGTTATTCACTCTCATAATTCAGAAACAATTGAATTGAAATTGATCGGTTCTTAAATTTTGTCAGCCAAATTTGATTTGAAATTTCAAATATAATTTTGGTTTAGCTGTTAGCTATCAATTAAAACCAACCATAATCTTGATAGTTGATACTCAACTCAATTTAAAATATAATTCTTTTATGTGTCTCAATTGTAGTTATGGCTAGTTCTTAAGTTTGTTCTTTGTTTATTCTTTTAATTAACAAGTTCATATATATTGTAGTAGTGCTAGAAAAAATAGAAGGACCGACTCAATACTTATCACGATAAGGAATTAACTTGACCGCCACAATAAATATAAACAAATTCTAAATGCCCAACATTTGTTAAATATGCATTGATATCTTCCAATAACTTCTTCAAATGACTTATTTTGCGACATCATGACACCATTTTTACGAGAAAAAAGAAAAACTAAGTTATATAAGGGCAAGGATAACAATGGAGAGGTACCCAGACCCATTAATTTAATTTTTTTACCATACTCGTAAAAAAATACAATATACATTATCCATTAAGAAATTATTATTTAAATTTTTATCTTATTTATATCGAGTCTATACTAGCTTATCAGCCTATTTAATATCTGTTAAATACATGCTAAATTTAATTTATTAAAAATATTTATTTTAGTACCAATAATTTTTAAGAAAAATTTTTTAACCTTCAAATTTATTTTTTTTGCATTTTGATCTTCAAAGTTTTCAAAAATGCATTTTGATCATTAATTTTTAAATTTTATGTAATTAGATCTTTATTGGTAATAAAAAAATAAAAAAATATTTTGTGTTTCTAATTAAATCTTGGAATAGATTTATTTCTCAAAAGCGTATATGATAAAGAAAAGGAGATCACACGATTTGCGGTATATTAGTAATTAAAACACCGGATCGAGTTCTGTAAACTAACCACTCATGTTTGCAATTTACAAGAATACTGAAACAAAATCATAATACTAGAAAAGAAGAGTAGCAAAAAGTTAAATTCACTTTCAAAAGTCTAAAAAACCAATTATTTGCTGGGGCCAAAACGATTTGAACGGACTGGTGATCTTTTATGACAGGTACGAGTCACAGATTCCATCACATATTCTCCCGTACCTTGGACTGATGCAATTGGCGATGAGAGTTTATCCACGTGGCAAAAAGCAAGGGGCAAAATATCTATCAAATCAGAAGAAACTGACCTCGAGAAATGGAAAAAGTTCACGAGGCCCAACAATAATCACCAGGCAAGCAAACCGGACAAACCGGTTTTTTGCAACACGTCAGTCTTTTTTCTTTTTCTCTCTCCATCTGTTTTTTTTTTTTTTAAATACAATTGTCAGCATCATCTAGCTATTATCTCTCCTGTCATAAAAATTAAAAAGTACAGGTATTGCGGCACATCCGTCTTACAAAGATGGGCTAGTAGTCTTTTCCCTCCGCAGTCCAATCGATGGTGATTAACAGCGAAGCAGTAGTTTTTTCCTTTTCGTAACTGTGAAAAATATATCGTAATTCATGGCATTTGTTTTATTATTTTCCCATCGTTTTTTTTTTCTGAGAATGATTATTCTATCGTTTTTAACCACCCTAAATTAGCTTTAAATTCTCAAGTGTTATAGCCCATGGCCCCCTCAAAGTTTGGAAACTCTTTAAAACCCCCTGCAACTATTTAAAAAAAATAAAAATTAAAGCATTATGATGAGATGGCCCTTCATATCAAAATTGTATCTTCCAACCTCCACCTCACCAAGTATAAAAAGAACAACCCTTCCACAAAGTTTATTTGAGAATTAGATTATTGATAGAATACCAAGATTATGATCAAAGAGTTTATAATCTAATAATAATAGTAATAATCTCTTATAATAAAAGGCCGATCGTTCAAATACTAAGAAAAAAAAACTATTCTACCAGGAGAGAGGAGACTGGGCATGCCAGTTAAAAAAAAAAAAAATACGAAGGTTATGCGAAACATAGCACAGGCCTGCCTTCCATCCCGTCCCATTGTGTGCTTGAATCGGGCCCATTTTCCTTGGGCTTTTATTTTCGTTTCTCTTTAGCCTATTTTTGTTTGATAAATTTGCACCCTTTTTATGTGTCAGATTATGCGGAATGGTTGTCTTGATTTCTAAGGACAAAGAAGGCTAGAAAGAAAGCCATGTCACATGGGCATTGATGATTTCCTGTTTTCACGGGACACGTAAGGTCTTTTCTTTGGGCGGAAATTCAACAATTTGGAAAGGATCAACCGAACAAGCTCTGTGCCATTTCTGTAATGGGTTAAGGCCTGAAGTGAGATCCTCGTGATATACTTTATTTCAAAGGCCTGGCCTAATAAAGTTCCTTGTATTTTATTTAATTAGTAGCCGAGAAACAAATTCAAGAGGCAAAACGCTGTTACTATACGAAGGTTCCTCATTCCGGATAGAGAAAAAGAAAAATTTTATAATATTAAAAAGCATACCTAACCTAATTATTTCATAAGCTCATTTTTACAAAAGAGATAAACACATAAAAAAACAAATTCTGACCCATCAAAAGTAATAAAAAAATTTCAACATTAACTTATTTTTTTTTTTCGTCTATCTCTCTTTATAGAGTTATTTATAATAATTAAATATAATATTTCTTAAAAAAAAAAAAACGTAATTCAAATAGACTCTTCTCTCCAGTTCCAACAGATACAGTTCTACAACAGGGTAGCTTTCCCCCATCTTATTCTCATTTTGACTAGGCTCAGGTCTGAAGACTTTAGTATAAATCCAGAATCTGAAATAAACAAATGTCGAACAAACCATTCGCCAAATTCACACGACAAAATATCATCAAATAAAACTCTTAAAGTTTCATTCATCATTTTAATCAATGACATTAGAATCGGTTTTGTCCATAACCCCATCAAAAGATCATCAAATACAACTCTTAAAGTTTCATTCATCATTTTAATCAATGACATTAGAATCGGTTTTGTCCATAACCCCATCAAAAGATCATGGACCAAAGTTCACATCTCCAGAATTAATCCATATTTCGATACTCAATGATTTCAGTCATCGCTTTTTTTGGACCCATACCTCTCAACCCTCTCATCAATCCACTCTCTCATATCCTTCAAAACGAGATTAGCATTCTCATCAGACTCACCTTGTATCAAAGAATGGTACATTCCCTCATAAATCTTCAAGCTCTTATCTTCACTAGAGGCTTTCTCGAACAACAACTGCGATGATGCAGGGCATGCCAACCCATCCGCCGTGCCGTGGACCGTCAAAAACGGCGCCGTGACCTTGGAGAAATTGTCCTGTACGTACTGGCACATCCTAGCAAGTTCCCTCATGGTTCCCACCCTAGGCTTGCCTGTGTATCTCCTGGGGTTGGATGCTATTATCTTGAGTTTCTCTGGGTCCCTGATAGCTTTGCCTACCATTTTGTTGTCCGGCATGGCTGCCCACGTGTCAGCTAATCCAAAGAGCAGACCATACATGAATAGGTGCACCTTGCTTGGTTTCATCGGTTCCGGTATGACAAAAAGGGGAGCCGAGAAAATCAAGCCCGTCCACGTGTTAGGTTCTGATTGGAAGTACATTAGCATGGTCGCTAGTCCTCCCATTGACTCACCAAATAAGAACGCGGGTAAGTCCTTGTATGGTTCGCTGAAGCGCACGTGCTTGAAGAACGACAGGGACGTGGCAGCAATTTTCTCCATCTCACCTTCAGAACAGCAGGATTCCTTTTCAGTTTTTCATTTTTTGGACAGGCTTAGAAAGAAGTTAAGCATACTTGTTATTGACGAAATAGAAATACAAATTTGGGCACTTTTTAGTGAATAACGTATGCTGGATTTGAGCTTAATATTTTGGTTGCTGGTTCATCAATGAAGCCATTTATTGGCTGATTTTCCAGGTGGTTCGAAACTTGGGATACGCATATGAATTATTGGTATGAGTCAATGAGAGGGGTTGGATCCTGGTGTTGAATAATTCCCACCAACTCTTTGTTGATTTTAATTGTCTCGACAAAATTCTGTTGCAATAAATCTCAACCCTTGGAACCTTTTAATAACAATACTACTACCAGTACATGTAGCAATAATAACGTCATTTCTAACCACAACCCTTTTCCTGTCATTCCTGTTCCTAGCAATAGTTTAGCGGTGTTTTTCCCCAAAACAAAATCTATTTCGCAACTCAATTTTATAATTTCTCAGGCAAATAAATACCATCTGAATGATGCCATCCAAAAATCATGAATCAAATAGAATGTGATTATGAAATTAAGACTATGACTAAATATGTTGTGATTTTAGCAAAACCATCATGCACCAAATGTTGTCATGAGCAGTGGAATTCGATCCTACAATGTTTTACACAGTCATTGTGTATTTAATTTAATATTTGATTACTAAGTAGTGGTGGTTAGCAATTGATTAGTGAAGAGTAAGCGAATTAATTACCCATGTAGCAACGTAAACCGTCTGATCTGCCATGTCCAAGAAGATCAGCACCAAAAACAGCATAACCCCAGTTAGCAAAGCTGATGCAAATCTTCTGAAACAACCAGCCAGTGTCAGATCCATAGCCGTGCGTCGTAAATACCGTAGCTTTGACTTTTTTATCCAACGGGAGAAAACCCTGCGTGAAGAGCTTCCCATTTGGCGTCTCGAAGTATGATTGGGTATTGGTCACTCCTTGTGATGCATAGTACTCCTCCTCCGGCATGTCGCCCCAGAAGTTGGGTGGCGTTTCGGATGACATTGTCCCGTTTCGTTGAGTGCGTTTGTTCAGATTCTCGTAAGGCTTGGGTGATTGACTTTAAAACAGAAAAGATGGGGGTTTTTCGAGGGAGTAGGTGGGTGGCGTTTCGGAGTTTGGTGATGTTTCTGTGGAGGTTTTTTAGAGTTGAAGGGAAAAGGATAGCGCAGAGGGCGAGACCGCGAGAGTGGATTTTAAAAGGGGCATACCGTGTAAGAAAGTTAGGTTTGTAGAAAGATAAAGTGCGGTTGGTGAGGGCATAACAGTTCTGAAGTTCGGTTGGTTTAGAGAGAGAGAGTCACTGTTCTGTTGGGTATTTTCACCAACTATGTTTTTCTATCGTTTTTTGGGAGTGGGTGGCAGTAGGTGGAGGGAGTGATCCCTTTCTTTATGGGGTCCACCACTAAGGGGTTGTGATTGGATGCGGCTGGCCCTATCTTGATTTTAAATCATTTTTTAGTATCAGTCAATGAGGAGGGTGGAATGATTTGTATGATGTGATATGAACCTAAGGACTTGAATAATTCCACGGATTGACGTCCTTCTCACGTTCACCAGCCGGTCGTTCACTAGTATCTTTCCAACTCGGCCTGGACTCCGATCTTGTTTTCCTCGCAGTTGGAGCCGGTTTCTTTCTCTTAGCCAAATTAATTGAGAGGATGCCTTTTCACGAGGATTACAACATTCCGGAAGCTTTTCCACCATGTTTTAGAACATCTCATGGAGTTGTTTTACGCAAATACAAGATTTAGGCTAAAATAAAAGGGGTATTTTAATGTCTTCGAAGTTTTTTTAATCTCTTTAACTTTTTTTTCTTTCCTTCTTTTGCTTTGGGTCAGTGATCAATAATAAAAAAGGATAGATCTGAGAATTTAATAGAAAAACGGAAGAAGAACAAACAACTAAATTTTCATGAATTCAATTACAAAATGTAATTTATTTGTTTTTTTTATTTAACGATAAAAGATATCTTCATATCAATTTACGCATAAATCGAAATTAAATCTCATTTCAAGACAATCTTAAAAACGTATCTTTTTTTATTTGTTTAATACATTCAAACAAATTTAATAAATTATTTTATGTTTATTAACTCTAAACTTTGAACCATAAAGTAAAAAAAGGAATCACATTCACTTAATGATCATGCCAATCTTTCGTGTAAAACCCCTTGATATTGGTGTTGAACTACGAGTTATGCACATTTATTTTTTATTTATTCTACGTTTGTATTGATCTTTAAAAGTTTGTTATTGTGTTTTCACATAACATGATTTTGCATGTTTTTCTTTGATTTGTTTTAAGTTTATCCTGGTTTTTAAGAGTTTGGTTATTTTATTTTTGCATAACATGACTTTGTTACCTAGACTTTAGGAAGATAATTGGTATGTTAGTTTCTATTTTGTTGTTACTTCTATGATGAATTTGCCTATATAAAGGCTTCAAAGTTTTGAATAAATATAAAAAAAATGTATCATCTTTTTTTTTTATTATTCTTAAGCTAATAGCGGTATCGGAATGCTAACAAAAAAAATATAAAAAAATAAGCACAACGGTGCACAAATGGCTTTTGAAAATTACGGGTAGCTAGCCATTCCATAGTTTGATGGTCATTATGACCATTGGAGCATATTGATGGAGAACTTCTTATCGTCTAAAGAGTATTGGCATGTTATTAAATCCGTTATAATACCTACTTGTTGGAATGGAAGAAGCACAACAAAAGGAGTAGGCGAGGTTGAAGTTAAAAGATCTAAAGGCAAAGAACTACTTATTTCAAGCCATTGTTCTTTTCCTTTAGATCGATCTATCTTGGAAACTATTCTCAACAAAGAAACTTTCAAGGATATTTAAGATTTAATAAAGAAAAGATATCAAAACTCTTTTAGAACGAAGTGTGCATACCTTCAAGCCTTAAGAAAGGGATTTTAAGATTCTACATATAAAGGATAGTGAATTAGTTACTAGCTATTTTGCAAGGACTATAGTGGTGGCAAATAAAACGTAGCTCCATGGTGAAGATATTGCGATCCTTGGCACCAAAGTTCGATTATGTTGTCTCGCTCAATTGAAGAATCCAAAGACATAGACACACTCTCTTTTAAGAACTCTAAAGCCCTTTGATGGTCTATGAACTCGTAGGATTTAATAAAGAAAAATATAAAAACTCTTTTAGAACGAAGTGTGCATAGCTTCAAGCCTTAAGAAAGGGATTTCGAGATTCTACATGTAAAGGATAATGAATTAGTTACTAGCTATTTTGCAAGAACTATAGAGATGGTAAATAAAACGCAGCTCCATGGTGAAGATATTGCGGTCCCTAGCACCAAAGTTCGATTATGTTGTCTCGCTCAATTGAAGAATCCGAAGACATAGACACGCTCTCTCTTGAGAACTCTAGAGCCCTTTGATGGTCTATGAACAGATTATGAATTGAAGTTCAACTACGAAAGAGCAAGCTTTAAAATCTTATACTTTTACTCATTCCATAAACTTTAGGTGAAGCTTAAACTCTAAGAGAAAAGGTGGAGGTAGAGGTAGAGAAAGAGGACATCGAAGGAACAACAATGGCAACATGCATTTCAAAGTCGAAGACAATCTCTTTAAAGGCATAAGATGGGATTAACGATTAGATAAATCCAAGATATAATGCTTTAAATGTCATAAATTTGATCATTATTGATCTGAATTTTATACTTCATTGCCTAGCAACAAAGAAAAATGAGAGAAATTGAATTTTATAAGGAAAAAACATAGCAACTTTATTGATGATGGTCCAAGCCAATAAAGAATATCAATCGGATATATGGTATGCGAATACAAACTATAACAACTAATCGTGTGAAATTAAGTCTTCTTTCTCTCATTTAAATGAATACTTCATTCTATTGTGAGTTTTGGTGATTGTTCTACGGTTAATGTACTAAAAAAAAAGTGATATTAATATAATAACCAAAAATGGTTTTGTAGAAATAATTTCTAATGTATTTTATGTTTTTTATCTAAAAAATAACTTGTTAAGTGCTAGTCAATTGCAAGAAAAAGGATTATGTGATAACTATTAAAAAATATACTTATGAAATATATGATTCTTCTATAGAAGCTATTAATGTTGTTCAAATAAGTTTAAAAAGATCGTTTCCATGAAAGATTAAAAGTATAAAAATTTGCTTGATTGCTTGAAGTAAAAGAACTTTTATGGCTTTGGCATTTTTGCTATAGCCACTTGAATTTTGATGGATCAAAGACTCTCCAACAAAAAAAAAAAAAAAATGGCAAGTCGACCTTCCTCAAATTGCATTCCTTCCCAAGTATATGAAGAATGTGTTGTTAGCAAATAACATCGTGCTCAAGTCCCTAAAGGAAAGTAATAGAGAGCAAAAATTTCTCAAAACTGATTTATTTTGACATTTGTGGACCTATAACACCAACTTATAATAGAGATAAGAGATACATAATTAACTTTATTAATAATTATACTCGAAAAAGCTTTTAGTGTATTTAAAAGCTTCAAGTTAAAGGCACGTGTTGAAAAAAAAACTATTAAAATTCTTTGTACCGATCATGGTGGAGAATGCTACATTAAGGAGTTTAAAGATTTTTGTGTTGCTTATGGCAATCAAAGAGAGCTTACAAATGGCTTATACATTGTAATAAAATGGTGTATCGAAGAGAAAAAATAAAGTCATCCTTAATATGATGTGCGGCTTGTAGGCAAGAGATAGTGGATCTCAAAATTTTTTTGCCAACAATCATGAATTGGAGTATCCATACATTGAGTATGAGTCATATTTTTGTTCTTCAAAACATGACACTAGAAGAAGTTTGGAATGAGAGGAGGACAATTGTAAATCACTTTATAATTTTTAATTGCATCGCTTATGCTCATGTTCCCGATGTGAAAAGAGAGAAACTTGAGGATCAAAGCGAAAAGTGTGTTTTTTCGATATAAATGAAGCATTCGAGACATATAAATTGTTAAATCCACGGATGAAGCAGATTATGATCGGTAAAGATGTCATTTTTTTACGAAGAGAGCACTTGGGATTGGAACAGACGAGTAGCTACTCCTATTTTTTTTTTTTAATACAGTGAAGCTCAAGAAGAAAGGTAGTAGTCGTTACTAATAAACTCCAATAGCTACTAAAACTTCACTAATAACGGTAGAAGTTACTAATTCGAGTAGCTAAATCTTGTATTTGCTATGTTTGAAAAAGGCTCGCATGGATGACATACTATGGAGTAATGGGTATTGACTAAATTGAATATTCAATCACTCATTTTGCTTTATTTTCAAATTGTGAACCTATAACTTACAAAATTGTTGTAAAAAAAAATGGTGAAAGGTCATGAAGGATGAAATTGAAGCAATTGAAAGGAATAGTACTTGAGAGTTGTGTGATCTTTTAAAAAGGCATAAAACCATTGATAGAAAAGGGGTCTTCAAAACAAAACTAAAGACAAATGATGACATAGGTAAGTATAGTCTATTAGTAGAATTTTTATTTCTCAAAAGATGTACGTGCAAGCAATTTTGGAGAAATTTTAGATGAATATTTGCAATCACTCCAATTGAGTTTGGTTTAAAGCTAAACAAAGATCATAAAGGAAAAAATATGGATAACAAACTTTTCAAACAAATTTTGAGAATTTAATGCATATAATTATGAGCATTTTTAAAACATTAGGTGAGTTTAATTAATAGATATATGGAAAGTCCAACATAAATGCATTTGTTAGCCGTCAAGATAATCTTTCATTGTTTTCAAGGAACTAGGGATTATGAGTTGCTCTATAAGAAAGGTAAAATATCAAATTTATTGGGTTTATTAACGGTAGTTATAGAGGAGAACAAGATGATAGAAAAAACACTTCGGTTATGTTTTTATGATGGGCACATGAGTTGTTTTGTGATCCTCCAAGAAGCGACCAATAGTTACATTGTCAAATATAAAAGCTAAATTTGTTGCTACCATAACTTGTGTATGTTAAGCCATCTGACTGGAAAAAATTCTTGAAGAGCTACGTTTCAAGCAAGATGGAGCTATTATAATTTTTTTGTTACAACACCTCTACCATAAAAACTTTATTAAAATCATATGCTATATGAAAGAAGTAAGCATATTGATGCGAAGTATTATTTTTTGAGAGACCTTAGCAATGATGGGATAATTGACCTAAAGTACTCGTAGAAGTGAAGAGCAACCGGTTGATATATTTACTAAACCTCTCGATCTCTTTCCTTTCAATATCCGAGAAGATTATTAGGTATTTTCACTTTGAAAATTTTAAATTGAACTATAAAAGCTTTCGGCTTAAGGGAGAGTATGTTAAATAATAAGTTCTCGCATGTTTGTTTTTTTTTCATTTTAAGTTAGCTCTAGTCTTTAGGAGTCCGTTTATTGTGTTTCGCAAAATATGGTTTTGCGAGGTTTATCTTTAATTCATTATAAGTTTGTCCTAGGAGTTTAGTTATTGTATTTATGCAGAATATGGCTTTGTTACCTAGACTTTAGAAAGAGTATCGGTATGTTAGTTCCTATTTATTGTTATTTTTGTTATGTATTTGCCTATATAAGGGCTTTAAAGCTTTGAATAAACATAGAAAAAAAATGTTATCTCTCTTTTATTCTGAAGCTAACAATTGGATTAAAAAAACCTAAAAATACAATAACCTAACACAAACAAGGAGTGACATTGGAATATTGATTTTTTATTCAAGGCCTCCAAAACAAATAACTTCATAAATCATTGACATATAAGAAAAAAATTATATTTTCATTTTTTTCATTGTTGGTCTTTATTAATTATAATTGATGGAGGTTTGTCATGAGATGGACGAAGCTGTAATGTGAAAATCCCACAATATGTATGCATTGTATGCATTTAAAGTGTCCAGAATGAGCTCCTATTCTTATACAATTAATAACACTACTATTGTTCACCACTTACTAGCTATTAAAACGTGCTTTGTGCACATAAATATTAATGATTTTGTTAATTATTTATAGCCAAATACGTCAAACTTGTCTTGAACTTATTTTTTAACATATTTAAAATTAAATTTCTGAACTTTAAATTTAATGTTTTGAATTTTTTTTTTGAGATGTAGTTTATGTAAAGATTTTCAGCTATCATCATTTTCTTTTAAAAAATCAAATTTTGGTATTTTGATATAAAATTTTGCACATGTATTGGAAAAAAATGAATTCATTTTATAGAAAAATTCCATAATTTTTCAAAATTAAAAAGTATATTATTTTATTTTTTAAATATTAAAAATTATAAAAAATAGAAAATAACTCGAAAATGATCTCAAATTTTTTGACGAGTTTTATATAAATCTCACTCGAATAATTTTTATCATAAAACTATTTATATTATTGTTCTTTTTTGGAATAAATAACAACAACTAAAAAATGAGCTAAATTTCAAAAGATTAAAACCTCAGGAATTCCAGAAAACCAAATTTAAAGTTTAAAGACTTAATTTCAATTGAATTAAGGTTCATGAGATGTTTCTTCTATTTAACCTTTATTTCTTAGTATTTTTTTTTTGTGTTTGAAAGTTTTCTATATTATTTTTGGTCTTGATATCAATATTATTCTGTATATTTTCATTATTTTTGCGTTTTTTCTTGGTTGTTGTCATTAAAATGTTAAGAATTAACATCTGTCGCATGATCACAAACGAATTCTTCGCAAATATACATTTTGATCCTTATAATTTATTGAAAAATCAAATTTGGTCCTTGAATTATATTTTTAATCATAAATAAATCCTTAATTCAAAGTTTTTTATCATCATATTTTATAGTACTATATAATTTAGTTATAAAATATTTTTTAAAAAATTAAATCCCTAAACATCAAATGATAAACTTAATAAAAATTATTTAAATAGATTGAAAGGCACGGTAAGAGTTGAGTAGATTTAAATAAATATACCCATTTAAAAATAATTTTTTTCTATAATATTATATATCTATTTTCATAATTTTCTTTTTTCCTTTTTAATTCATTTTTCTTATTTAAACTAAAAAATATGAGACAAATTAGACAATCAAAGACTTGTTTGCTAGCTATTGTAGATATATGCTATTATGAAAATTTCTTTTTCTTTCTTTTCTTTTGACTATTTTAGATGGGTATATCAATTTAAATCCACTTAACTCTTATGTTATTCATCAATCCATTTGAAATTTTGAGTAATTATTACTAAATTTATGATTTGACACGTAGCGATTTAATATTATAATATATTAATTTCAAGGAATCAAATTATATTTTACTATAAACTATGATGACAAAAAATTTTGAATTAAAGACTTGTTTTATCAAAATAATAGTACAGAGACCAAAGTAAATTTTTAAGAAATTATAAGAACTAAAATGTACTTTAACAAAGAATTCATGACATGAGCAGGAGAAATGTGTCGATTTCTAACCATTTTAGTTACACCAACTATAAAGGATTTAAAAATAATAAAAATATAATGTATGAGGTTAATATTAAGATAAAACATAATGAGAAACATTTTAAATATAAAACAAGTAGTAGAGGGATGTACAAAAACGTAAAACTCTTTAAATGGATACAGATGCATTAGAGGCACTTTAGTCAAACTTATGGAAATGGACGGATGATTCACATTAACAAAGATGAAGAGGTACAAGGTTCACATTAATAAATTAAATTCAAGAGGACTGGATTAACAAAATCAAAATAGTAGAAGGGCCGGGAACTTTACTTCACGAAAAGCAAATCAACGAGAAAATATGGATGGCGAAGGAGCAAAACGCTCCGTTTTAGTGCTTGTCCAGTCACAAAACGACCGGTGGGTTTTCGAAGTAGTCTCCCTCCGTTCTCCTTCTCCCTCGTTACCAACGCCATTGGATTTGGTTATCACCGCCGAACCTCAACGACATACAATTTTCCGTCTCACAAATTGACAAAACAGATCCACGGAATGGGGAGACGGTGGTGGACAAGGTGGTATAGCTGGGTAATACTGGTGGTTCACGTGTTTGCGATTCTGCTATTCACCAGAGGATTCTTACTTACTCGAACTGAACTTCCATATTACAGCCACTGCGACGACATTTCTCAATCTCCTTGCTTCTCCTCTTCCTCCTCTGTCAACAATACTGACAGTCGCTGTTGGAATAAACCAGCTGTTGGTCGCCTCGTCATCATTGTTCTCGACGCACTCAGGTTCTTCATCTCTTTATCAACCATTTCGTTATTTTTCTTATTTGTTTTCTTCATTTTATTTGATTTTTGTTATTTTGCATTTTCAGGTTTGATTTCGTTGCTCCAAGCGGGTTTTTTCAAGGTCAGAGCTCTACTCATTCTTGTTCAACAAAACCTAACGATTTCTAATTAATTGAATTTATATAATTTTTGCGTGCTGATTTTATTTGTTATTATGTAGAAAAGAAAGCATGGATGGACAGATTATCTGTGCTGCAAAATACGGCATTTGCTGAAGGATCGTCTGCTAAGATTTTCAAAGCCATTGCTGATCCTCCTACCACTAGTCTCCAGCGCTTGAAGGTCTGTATTTATTGTTTTTTTTTTCAAATTAAATTGCAACATATCTTACTTTATGTATTTATTGTAATTCTAATGTTTTAGGGTTTGACAACGGGTGGATTGCCGACTTTTATAGATGTCGGAAATAGCTTTGGTGCTCCTGCAATTGTTGAAGATAACTTTATACATCAGGTTATTTATTTGTTTTATTGCCTTCTACAACAACAGTTTAATTGCATATGTTTCTTGTTTTTGAAATGGTTGGTCTCGCTGGCAGCTGGCTGAAAACGGGAAGCGAGTAATGATGATGGGTGATGATACATGGACTCAGTTGTTTCCTGATCATTTTAATAAATCTTATCCGTACCCGTCTTTTAATGTTAAGGATCTTCATACGGTATGCCATTTTTAACATTTTGCATCTCCTTCTTTAGGTAGTTTTTTTTTTTTCCCCTAGGAGACTTTTACGCTCAATACTTCTTTATACATTGCTGACCATGGTGAAATTTTTTATCTTTTAGGTAGATAATGGATGCATCGAACACCTATTTCCAGCCCTATATCAAGAGGACTGGGATGTTCTTATTGCACATTTTCTTGGCGTGGTAAGATTCAGGTGCTTTATTTCTGCAAGTGACTGATGTCTGTTGTTGAATTTATGTGTGCTCCAAAGCATACATTGTTATCAGCTTATGTCGCAAATGTATGACAAAATTCAAGAGAGGGTTCTGATTCAAGTTATGTATCAATTGAACTTTGAAAACAGACCAGGCCAAATCCCACCGCGCCACCACCACCCCAACCACCCCCCCCCCTCATTTTTTCCCTGAAATCCCTTGAATTAATGCTGGAAAATAACAATTTATTTCCGGCGTTAAATTTTTCTGTGTCCTTGAGGGCTTAATCTTGGAACAACTTTTTTTGTATCGGTGAGCATACAAGCTGTAACTGGAATCTGAATTATGTGATCTGTGTGATATAGGATCATGCTGGGCATATATTTGGTGTTGATTCCAAGCCAATGATAGAAAAGTTGGACCAGTACAATCTCATGTTAGAGGTAGGTTTCTCAATTATGTTTATCTAAGCTGCATCATATTCTTGATCTTGCATTTTGCTTCTAAGAATTTTCCACACTGTTGATATTGCTGGTTGACTCAGCAATATGCACCTTTGTGATGGACTGGTCAGATATTTGGAAATTTGAGTTTCTTGCACTGCCTTTTTTTTTTTTTTTTTTTTTGATTTAGCTATTCATGCATAAAGAACTAATGACATGTACCACAGCTTATGAGAAAAACAATATGTCTACAACAATAAGAAAAACAGCTGCAAATGTAACCTTTTAGCTGTCCTTCTCTGCTTATAAATATCTATAAGCATCTGTTTCTTCAATTTAGACATGGATTTAAGAAAATCAATTGAATGGTATATAAGCCATCACACTCAAACAAACTGATTTTCCTTAGAAATTTCATATAACTACCTTAACAATTGTAAACGTTCGAGAAAATACACAGTGAATAATAGTATACATGTGGATATATATATATGAGAGGACCATGTTTTTGCTTCAGCAATTAATCAAATTGTGCATATATGTGTATATATGAGTAGACCATGTTTTTGCTTCAGAAAGTAATCAAAGTGCTCGAGAGCCAATCTGAACCTGGTGGCTTACATGAAAATACTTTTCTTCTGGTTATGGGTGACCATGGACAAACCTTACATGGGGATCATGGTGGTGGGAGTGCTGAAGAGGTATATTATTTGTCTTGTTCTCATAGAAACTTGATTGGATTTATTTTTGCTGAATATCTGAAAACTGGAATCATACTTTGCAGGTTGAAACATCGATTTTTGCCATGAGTTTTAAGAAGCCTCCATCTTCTGTTCCATCTGAATTTGATACTTCATCTTGTAAACTAGATTTGGTACTGCCCCACTCTTTAAATGAATGAATAAATGTTGGCAGCTACTATATATTTTACTTGAATCAGCTCTTCTTTCCACCATTTGAATTTCCACTATATTACTGGAGGGTTATATTCCTAGTTGTTCTCCCTTTGATTATGTTACTTCTTCTTGATTACTCAACAATGAAAAAATGAGGGGGAGAGAAAAGGAGGACAATATAGTTCGAACAAGTGACAGAATCACAGTATTGCATTCTCAATACAGCACTATTTTTGCAATGGCAAAGGAAGACATTTTGTAGACTAAGTTTCTTGCAACTTTGATAGACAAGGAAATGCCTTCTAACTTGCAATGAAAGAAAAATGCTCTAATTGTTGGAAATTTCAGATAGAATACCAAATTGAAAGGGAAAATAGGTAGAATTTAAAAGGTGCAAATGAGTCGGGGTTCTTGTGGTCCTTCTGACTGAATTGTGCTTTCTGTATTTCAATTTCAGGATGGGAAGAAGAAATGCACCAGCTCCATTCAACAAGTAAAAATTGTTGTTTTACCTCTGCACTGTGATTCTGTTACGATTTCATTCCAATCGTGTATTTACCTCATGTTAAGTACTTATTGAGGTCATTTTATGCAGCTTGATTTTGCAGTGACAGTGTCTGCTCTGCTTGGTATTCCATTTCCTTTTGGAAGGTGCCGTGTAAGCATCCTTCAGTTTTAACATTTGTACCATTGTATTGTATTTGTATAATATCTCTTTAACGGCTGATGATTTCCTAAGTAAACTAGATCGCCTTTCTTTACTTAATTTGGTGGTTTCTGTTCTTTCCAATATGCTGTGGAAGTAATTGGTTTCGGCAGAATCTAAAGTATATAGATTATTCTTAAGAGTTTCTGTACTGGAAAAAAAATTGGCCATGAAGACATGGTTGATCTCGGTTTGTGTCCATTGCTTTGAACTGTCATCTTTATTCCAATATGAACTTGTGCTTGTAACAATATTTACCCTAATTGTTCCTTTCTGTCATTGTACATAATATCATAGTAATTATTGTCTGAAAAAAAAAAATAGTGTATAGTTAATGTGCAGACTAGCATTACCATGTTCTTTAGATCTATGATCTCAGAAATGAATGTCCGAATTGTGGGATATTTATAAAGCTGATTTTTAAAAGAACACCATCACAGCCCACTGTTCATGTGCTGTGGAAGGTCTAAATTAACTCGCGTCGCTCGTTTGTATTAATGTATCTCTTGCTTGTAAGAACTTCAAAGTTTCCATTTGCTTCGAAAGTCATTTATCGGTCCTTTCACCTAGTAAAAGAGTTTCTATGCCACTTTTGCTCATGTTTTTTATAGTTGCTTATTGCCCGTGTCATCTACATTGCTTTCATTTTGTTGGAACAAAAATTTTCATCAGGAATGATGCTTGTGAGTTTTGTTTTTTCAGCATCGGACGAGTTAATCCTGAGCTATATGCTTTAGGCGCTGGTACATGGAATTTGGATGGCATCAATGTGAGGGATTCCTCCAATCTGTCAAAATTGGAGGAATGGTTACTGAATTATGTCAATGTACTCTGCACCAATTCTTGGCAGGTACCTTTTCTTTATTGGTCCCAGTTATTACATACACTTAAGTAGCATGATATATATTGCGTATTTTATTGCTAATCTCATTATTTTTCTAAATTTTGAAATCTATAAAATCCAGACATCTCTTGTCATTGTTATGTCTTCTTTCACTGTTATCTGAAAATTTTCGATATATTGAGGAAATTGTTCTTGTGGTCTTCTTTGAATGTAGCTATCAAAAAATTGTTAAAATTTCAAATTATAACTAGACAAGCATGCAATTTTGGTCTTACTAAATAGACTTCTCTTTTGGCAAATACTGAAGAAATTTATTTGGAAGAAAATGAAATCTAAAATAAGACAAGGAGGGTAAGTTGTCATCCAAATATCAAGAGATAAGAATAACATGACAAGCATTTGCCATTTCCTTTGAGGATCTGCTAAGGAGACACGTCTAAATGGGCCATAAATAGTGCTCTATTGAGAAGCCAGAAAAATAATCTTTTGGCCCAACAATTGTTTGAAAAAAAAGAAAAGAAAAAAGAAGAAGAAGGAAAGAATAGGTAATACTCCCCACAAGTCCTCCCAAAAGAAATTACAAGGTTCATCTCTTCTTTCTCTAATATGAGGGGAGAAAAGAATAGGAGATATGTATGATATGGATTTCCTAGGACTCACATGGGCAATGGAAGTTAAGACTAGCATTTCAAACATTTAAAGAGGGGACTACACTTGTTTAGTGACCTTATTGGATTTTGGATTCTGGTTTGGAACACCAACCTGATCTGTGTAACGATTAAAAAGAAGGCTTGATTTAAATAAGTTTTATGAGCTCTGAACTGCTGTTAATCACTTCTAAAAAAAGGTTGCAACTTTCTGGCAGTTCCAGTGCCCATCTATGAAAGAGATGTGCGAATGTGTAGAAAATAAAGAACAGTGTGTTATGTGGGTCTCATGAAGAAAATGCACAACATTTTCTCCTCTCACAAAATATCTTTGTGGTGTTAAGATTTGTGAATTTGTAGATGTTGTGCAAATGCATGGTTCCACTGTGACCATTTAGTTCATGACATCAATGGAATGTGATTCAAATATTAAATCCCATGTGATCGTAGAATTTTTGTCTATGTGCATCAAAGGTATGATTTTATGCTTGTATTGTGTTTATATAAATTCTTGCAATGGAGGCTGAGCAGTTTGCATGTATACCTACCTTATCATAAAGATTCAGTTTTTGAGGAAAATGCCATAACCACTTACCTGAAAAAGTAAATGGCTATGCCCCAAATCTCCTAGACCTTAAGTAGCAACACATCTCCTCCAAATCAGACCTGAGAAAATGTCTCATCATCACCCTCTCCAATCTTAGAAGGGTATAGTGATATAGATAACATTAAGGAAGGTTATCCACCTCAGGTCATACCAATAGCCTTTTAATTCGTAGTACAGGAATATTTAATTAATAGTTTGTTGCATGGTTGTGGATTAGGCTGGAGGTAGTATACTGTCATTAACTATGAACATAATGTTCTCATTTTTGTTTTCAATTTATATATTACTTCTCTTTTCAATGTAGGGGCTGGGGGCTGGTAAGATTCAAACCACCGCCTCTGCTTGTTTTCCACTTTGGCTCATAATCTTTTAAGGCAATCTTGCATTTATTTGCCATCTTGATTTTTCCTAAGTGATATTAGTTCTCTTCTGTAGGTGAAAAGATACATTGATGTCTATTCAACTTCATCTGTCATTGGATTTTCCTCTGAAGACTTGTTACACATATCAAACGTGTATGTTCAGGCAGAGCAGAATTGGGCACACACTACTAAGAATTTACTGTTGTATAGAAATGAAAGCTGCCACACATTGTTACCTGCTCTTACAAGGCAAATTGATTCTTATTTCAGTTTCCTATCAAATGTTTCAGAGCTGGCTCGCGCCAAATGGACTGAATTTAATATGAAGCTGATGGGAATTGGTCTTGGGGCCATGTTCATTTCACTCTTTATCATATTTCTTGCCATTCAAAGGATAAATAATCTGCATATGACTTCTCTTTTGTCTCCTGGAGGTTCTAGAATTTCCTTTGAATTAATATTTGCCTTCTTTGTTGTGGCAATACGTGCATGTAGCTTCCTGTCAAACAGTTATATTTGTAAGTTCCAAGTCTAGCTAGCTTTTCATGGTTTGCAAAATGCCTTTCGTCATTGCTGACACCCTGTTTTTAAACCCTGATCTCAGTGGAGGAAGGAAAAGTGGCAAGTTTTCTGTTGGCCACCACCGGCATTGTCAAGCTACGTTCTGCAATCATGAAAAAGAAGATGCAATTTGAAGTATGTATTGGTGGCCTTAAAAGTTTGGTACAATAAGTTGATGGTTGTGATAAGAAAATCTGTCGTTGATTGTTATTGTGATGCTAATTTTCAAGGGCTTCACCTTGCAGGCAGTAAGTTTTCTACTGTTGACATCCATTCTAAGATTTACCATTGAAGTTGGGCTGTCAAAGCAGGCTGCCACTTCATTATTTCTGAGCGCATCCCCTTCATGGATGTTTGGGGTTGCCTCAGGTCATCCACTATGGACGTATCTGGCTGAAATCGGGCCAATTCTAGTTGTAATATTATTGGCATGGCTGCTGTACAGAACCATCACCAGCAGCATATTTGGGGGACTTTGGAATTATATTACCATCGGAACCATTCTAGGTTATGTTCTTATAGCTGTGCATTGGGTGGCTGAAAGTAACATACATAGTCTGGCTCTGTTGTTTCAAGGAATTGCTAAAGGTTGCATCCCAAGAATGGTTTATGCAATTGGGCTTGGTCAACTGTTTTTAGTTGCAGTTGGTTATTTGTTTGGTAAAGATAGAGAGTTTGATTGCAATAGGAGCTTGGTAATGAAAACAGTGGCTATTTTATCTGCTTGGAGTCCAACAATCATCATTCTGTCAGGAAAACAAGGTTCCTTGGCAGCATTAGCGCTGATAATTGGAGGTGCTTATTTTTTACTATTCCTTTGGTATTGCATCAAGTTGAATCATGTTTGAGCTGTTTTCTTACTTTAGTCCTTTGTTTTTCCTTTCTGTTTAGTAGTATTTGCAATATTTAATTAGTAGTGCACTGTTTTTTAAAGGATTTGGCTCATAGAAAGTCTCTGTTTACAGGTTATTGCATAATGAGGTTGGAGAGTTTGGAAGACAGTGACTCTGATGCTACTGCCCAAATTTTTACTTTCAATCCTCTTGCTGTTACACAGTGGAACCTCTTGGCTGTGTGTCTGTTTTTCGCCACTGGTCATTGGTGAGATGCTCGTGATTTACTCTGATGCTTGCACATATGCTGAGTCTACTTCTGGTCTACTTTGTCTTTAGTTTGATTATTCGTGACTCTATGTAGTTCATTAACACTGAAAGCAGATTCACCTATCATGTAGTTTTGAAACTTTAGGTGAAGCAGCTTTATGATGCAGGACAGCTTAGGGGCTGTTCTGGATCTGATGTTTGGAGGCTGTTTAGGGGTATTTACAGTTGTATTGAAGTCGGTTTCTGCTAGAATATGAGGAATGGGTAGGTTTCTAGGGGTCACACCTAAGGGGGAATTGAGTCGCACAATCAAAAACAAATTGCTGGAATTTTATTTGTAAGCTGTCATTCATAATTTTGAAAGGCTACACTCTATATTTATAAAGTTGTAGAAGTCCAAATCCTACTAGGATTCCTAAACCTCCAACATAGTTATTAGGACAAGGATTCCTAAACCTCCAACATAACTATTCCTATTTAGAATAGGAAAACCTATAACTATTCTTATTTTAGAATAGGAAAACCTAATAACTTTAATACTAAGAAATAAAATACTAAACAAAAATAAAGCCTAGACCTAGACAATTTCCAGATTTCCTGCAAACCTAATAAAACTACTAAAATGCCCTTGCATTCTAATATTTAAATAAAACACATAAATCTTAGTCTTTTGTCGTCCGCATCACTTTATTAATCCATGCGCTATATATTTCATAACCTCACACCACTCTCCCTGCAGGTGTGCATTTGATGGCCTGCGGTATGGTGCTGCATTTATTGGGTGAGTCTTAGATATGTGCACGCATGCAGGCATATATTATGTGATTCACAATTTTATTGGCAGTGACCCCTTATTGATGAAGTGGCAGTGCACCATTCACAGGGGAAAATTACCATTTCCAATTGAGTCATTTTTAACCCATGTCATGTTTCAGGTTTGATGAATTTGTCCTTGTTCGTCAAGCAATCCTTCTTACAATTGATACATTTGGCTTTTCTCACATTCTTCCTGTTCTTGGACTTCCATTTCTGGCTGTTCGCCATTTTTTGTTTGGTCGGAATGACCATGGGAAGGGTTTTCTTTTCACCCAGCTGTCTCAGGTAAGTTAACTGCGCGAACCACTTTGAAGAAGTTTTTGTCTCTGATTTTCATCTTCTTCTTTCCTTTTATTTTCTAGAATATCATACCTCTGGCAAAGGCTTATATAGATCGTCTTCTATGTTTCAGATGTATATGATGTACGGACTTATTACTGCCACCATGGTAACGGTCACAATAATATGTGTTACCATTCAAAGGCGTCATCTAATGGTAATGGATCGTTCAAAAAAGCCATGCTAGTCTGTGTATTGAACACCTACTAACATTTTGTTTGCTTCTGTCTCTGTGCAGGTATGGGGACTATTTGCTCCAAAATTTGTCTTTGATGTGGTGGGCCTTATTCTTACAGATGCACTGATTTGCCTAGCTTCACTTTTATACTCCGGTCGAACTGAAGAATGACACACGGAGTTAAGAAACCTGAAAAGTAAATTTCTCGCAAGCCACTAGGGATTTATCACCGCCCACCCCATAGGAATTGATTTGAAAGATTAGAGAAAGAGAGAATAACAACATTAGATATCTGAGTCAAAATAACATCATTATTTTCTGTCAATCGGTCTGTTCATACTTTATGTTAACACAGTTTTTTAGCTGTTCCCCTTTACACCTACGAGCAGGTCCAATTTTGTAATGTTTTATGTGAAAAAACTGGCAGCCGAATTTCAAAATTCCGGAAAAATATAATAGAGATGATGAGATTGGGCGATATTTCTACAAATTCTTTGGTCATTTCAATTCTTTTGGTGACTTCGCATATTCTAGTAGCTTCAGGAGCTTTGGTGTAAGAAGATACTAGAGATGAAAAATAAGAAAATTCCTGCGTGGAAAGTAAGAGCTGAGAAAACCAAATCAGCAGGAGTAGTTAGATGATGAGGACATGGATGCGTTGCGGCGAATTTTGGGCCCTCATTGCGTGGACGGGGAAATGTAGTCTTTCATGTGAAACACAAACTGAACATTGCTGGTAGTGGATCTCTATCAAGAAACGTTTCTAAAGGAACCCATAGCTTCTATGGATGAGATGGAAATTTAAGAGGTTAATCGGCGTCATGATGGATTCAAGAAAAATGTGAATTTCTAAAACCAGGGACAGAAGAAATGGTCCGAAAAACCTAACTTGAAGGATGAATTTAGCAAGTTTGGCCTTGTTGTTTGCAAGAATCTACCATTGCCTAATATATATATATATATATATATATACAAATCTTTCCTAGCATGATTCTGTATCTTGAGTGGCTAATTTTCTTTAGGTCTTTCTTTCTGTTCAAAGTAGATGTACAGAGCAAGTATTATTAATTATTCATGGAGTAATTTGAAATATAAATATAACTTCGTGATAATAAACATACTTTCGAATTTCCAATTATTTATTTTTTTGCTGCCTTCCCGTACTGGATAAGAGACGTAGTACATATAGCTTATGGGTACTCAACGCTCGGTCGGTGGCTTATAAGTTTGAATGAGGGAGAAACTAAGACCTGACCCAATAATAATAATAATTAATTAATCTAAAAGTACCCCATCTTAAACCAAAAATAAAAGATTATGATGTAAACAATGATCCACATGTGTCCTTGCGAAAGAGATTATTCATATTCTAAAATTTGAATTACATTCTATCAACATAAACTATGAATGTGTTTTGTGATAAATATCATTTTGTTTCTTTTTTAAATTATATTTAATTTAAAAATTTATTCAATCCTAGCAATATACATCATTTTTATGCGAGTTAATTAGAGAAAGAAACACGTACCACTCTCTTATCCTCGTCGAGCAATGACAAACGATACACGTGTGTGTGAAATGGAGAACGCAAGAAACTTACGATGTAGTATATATTAACAGTTCTACATACAGACAATTATTAATTACGATACACACACACATATATTAAGCTTTCACGTCAATCAAACATCTCTCACTTCATCGACATGGAATAATTCCCAATATTTCTCCTTAACATTCCATAACTAGTTACGTCATGGATCATGGGCTTATGAAAACACGACCATGCTGCCATGGTTAGGTATTATAAATAAGAGTGGGACAAAATATCAATATATAGATAGAGATATATGACCTCATTCCTTCTCTAGAATTCTCTCTCTCCCCCAACAAGATTTTTTGTTTCTTGTTCAAAGTTCAAACATATAGTCCTTCAATCCGCAGGCGACAATAATTCTAAAAATCTAACCAAACGAGTGACGTAAACTCTTCAACAACCTCTATACTTGAGGACAAAATCTTTCGAGGAATTTTATAATATTAAATAAATAATTAATATAAATTATTTAATAAAAAGAGAGATAAACATAAAAATAAAAAATAGATTCAATATGAAAATCTTTTATTATTTTTATGCATCTGCATATAATTTTTTTTATAGTGTATCTGTTTTTTATAAAAAAAAATTAATAAGTCTATAAAATAAATAATTTACATGTCCACTAATTACTTTTTAAATATTATAAATTTTCTCAATTCTTTGCATGGCTTCAAACTGCACGCCCTTCTCAACTATTTGTCGTTTTACATATATTTCGGTTACTTCACTCCAGTTATGCACATTGGCCAGCTTTTACCTTTTCTTTTTCTTTTTAACGAAGGCCAGCTTTCGCTTTGTGAATTAACGCAACAATCTTAATCTACAACTACAACGGTTCTTTTCGGATGGAAAATGACATGCATAAAAACTGGTGAAAGAGCTTTCCAAGAGAATCAAAGCTGATTAGGGCCTCGTTAGCAGTCCACCGTCGAGCTCTAAAATAACTTTATGGTCATACATATGTTTGTTTTTTTAACTTTAACAATATGGACGGCGATGCCAATCGCTTTGATTGAATCACTTCAAACCTTTTTACATTACCTTGAAGGGCGTTTTGTTTTATAAGAAGAAACCTCAATTTCGGCCACTAATCTATTATTCTATTGTCAATTAAGTTCTACGCCGTTTGATTTATCAATTTTGTTTCAAATGTAACCGATATTAAAAAAAAATTCATCTTTTCATCCATGATTTGTTAGTGGAAGTTAAAAGATTTCATCCGATTTAAGTGTGATTGTTAAGTGCTTCCAACTTAGGAACAAAAATAAACCTCAATCTATTCTAAAGGACAATTTTAATGCGAAATGGAAATAAATTTCTTTAACTTCTCATGTACATGTCAGTAAAATAAGGCAAAATTTATTATGATTTGACAATAAAATTATCCTTTAGGATAGATTGAGACTTATTTTGATGTATTGGATGAGATTATTTAATGAGCAAATGTAAATCGAATGGAATCTTTTAACCACATTAACAAGGAATTGATGGAAAATGACATTGTCTAATATGGATTGTTTTGAAGGAAAATTGATAAAACTAAAGGGTTTTTTTTTTTAATGTTATTGAAAAATTTATGATTACTTGAGGCTGGTTTGTGAATAACATTTGATGAGGACCAAAGCATCCCTAAAAATGTTTTTTTTTTTTTTCTTTTCTGCTCAATAAAATGTGTGTACTAAATATATAGAGGCTGGCTATATATCATGCAAAAAAAATATCGTGCCTTTTACACATGCATGAATTTGGAGGTTAAAACCAAAGTTTCAAAGAAAATATCTATGGTCTTGATTTTGGAAATCTTAAGAAGTTGTACGCAACAAACATCTTCACATTACATATTTTGTCTTCTTTTTTTTTAATTTATTTTGGAAAAATAATTTATTATTCTTATTATTTATACGCAGCCCTGTTTGCAACAAATTCGTAGCCAAATACAATCTTCCTTCTGTTTAGAATTTTATTTTTTAGAAGATTATTGTTTAGAACTTTGATGTGTGACAAATTGTGCGTTATATTTTGTTAATTGATGGGCGATGTTTCAGAAAATTCAAAATAAACGGCTTAATTTGTGGAATATATTTATTATGAATCCCTTAGGAGAGAAGAACAACAGCATAGCTTATTGTGACTGTTGTACTGGGCATAGTTGCATCAGTACACTACCAAAGATGCTTATCCAGCTTAGCAATCACCCTTTTTATACGTCAATAATACAATTTTGTCATCTTTTGTCTTTACGTTCGATTAATTAATGCTCCTAAAGATTGTGTCCATGGAGGTACTTTCGGTAGACTGATACTTTTAAATGCGAGTATCAAAAGGACAACTGCGCTATTTTTCCTCTTCGATACGAGATTAAATTAAACATGCATGTATACATAAAAATAATGATTAAAAAAAAAAGATAATGCAAGATAAACAATCAATTCTTACATACATAAGCATATGCGGTCTAACATTTGTATAAGTGAGTAGCAACATTCTCTTTAATACACTTTTTAAAAATATTTACTCAATAAAAATATTCATGTTAAATCTTATCATATAATTTTACAGATAAACAAATAAAAAACAAATATTTCAATTTAATATAAAATTGGTTGTGATTTTTTTTTTTGAATAATATGGAACATCAATTATTTTTTGTTTAATATTATTTAACGTAGATATTTTTATTGAGAAAATATTTAAAGAAAAATGTTAGAAAAAATATTACAAACACTCTTTTTATATATCTAGTATCAATGAAATAAAAATTTTATTACAATAGAAGTGGTCTTTCGTTTATGTCTAAATTTCAATTAATCTCTCGTGCAATTAACAATAATAATAATAATAATCAGATTCAAAAACTATAACTAACACACTGCAATAAAAAAAAAAAGTTGGCTTTTGTTTCATGTTGTATGAATATTGTTCTTATTAGTTAGTTCAAAGAGAAAAATCCAAGAAAAAAGATAATACAGAAATGTTGCTGTCAAGGTTGTTGGGAGGAAAGCCTCGTACGGGGGCCATTAAATAAGTTATTCAATTGAAGCAAAGTTGCTTAGCTATACACATATTACAGCAATGAAACTTCTCAGCTTTTTCGTTCCTCTTCTTTTGGAAGCAGCAAGAAAAAGCTGAAAGAATGGTACATAAATTTCAAATAAAGTTTTTAGTGGCCAATGCTCTGGTTTGCAGCAACTTTGAGGATCAATGGACCATAATTGTCATCACATGGCAAAAGGTTCAAGTAATCCTCTCTCTAATCAATCTCTAATAGGAGGGTAGGACCTATGATTTGAAAACCATTAAACAAAAATATCCAAAATAAAGTTGATTAATAATTTAATTGTGTACAACTCAGTCTCAGAGGACATTAGGTCACGATATACCTTCACGTCAGTAGAGGTGGGGCAATTCATATACGAAGGATTCCACTAGTGACGTTATAGAAATGCAGAATCTATTATTTTTATCCAAATTCTCTGCTCAATCGCTTGAGCTACAGGTTCAGGGATAGTACATATTGCACTGACAAGGATGTGGTGTGATTTGACTCTAGTCACCTTAAGAGTCTATAATT